GGAAAATTGTTAAATTTTGGAAGTTGTTATTTTTTGTTATGGCTAATGAAAATTTTTTATTGGCCATATATAGTAATGGCCCCATAAATAAATTAATAGGTTAGATCAAATATTTAATCTAACAAATATAATAGTTGAGGGGCACTTTTGGCATAAACAAATCTTCTCACATCTAAAATTATTTTTTTTGTTGTTGCTTTTTTTGAATGGGACTAAAATGTTACAAGAAAATTGGTTCCAAGAAAGATTAGTGATATATTTAAAATCACAAGGGAGGACAATGAAACTGAGGTTTCTGAAATTATCCCATTAAAATACCTAAGGAAAAAGATTCTTATTTCTATTTATTATTATTTAGAAAAAGAAAATCCTCAAGAATCTAGATGGCCTCTTCTTTTTAGTCACAAAAGTTTCAAAAGCACGTAATGACTAAGGAATCGGATCATTCAGAAGACCACCTGCAGGTGGACATCACAATCTAATCCATTATCAGGGCATTCTCGCAATGGGAATCTGCAACTGCTAAAGAATGGAACAAAAGTTCATGTGCACTATAACCAAATTTTCCCTGTAGTGAAATCGTACCAGGAACGAAAAAGGAGTATACATTTTGTAGGGATAAGTTAATACAACAAGGTAAAAGTATCAAATCTGTTATTGCCGTACCAGTACCACTGCAGCAAGAGACAAAGTGTCAACATGAACAGAGTAATCAGACCTCAATTAGTATATGGTATGTGGCTTCATACAGGTCTTGAAGCTCTTTTAAAGTTGGCCATGAAAAGGGCTAGACCTGCAAGGCTTTATTATGCATCTGCAAAGCAGAAAATTGGCCGTCTGGAGGCTGCTTGATGCTAGATTGGCTCTGTCAAATCAGGTCAAAGATGATTCTTGGTCCAAATATTAATAGCCATTGATGCAAACACAGTTCACTCCATTCAAGATTCCAGTTTACTCGAGACAGAACAAAGTACATTTATGCTCCTGACTATGGGATCAGTCAAAGTTTACCATCGTTGTCACAGATGTGCTTGTGCCACTCCAGCCACGGTGAAAAATTAGTTGGCAGACATAAAAAATGATTTCATAATAAGATTATTAATCAAAAAGAAAACAAGAAGACGTGTGCGTAAAAAAGCCATCTGTCCGCACATTAGCTTTGTAAAAGGAAATCCTTGTCAACATTTTCTGCACACAACCAAGCAATCACCTGTAGTTACAAGGGAAACATGAAATCCAAAGATTCCGAAAATCCGTCTCTGTACTTGCATGCAAAAAAAAAAAAGAAAGGCACATGTATTAATAGTACATGCATTACAAATTCAACCTATTTGCCGAAAGTATTAATACATATGATGCTCTGAGCCTTCGACTTTTTAATAATACATGTATTACAAATTCAACCTCAGAAAGGGAGACTAAATACATCATTACAACCGATCATCAAGTTAGAAAGGTAATGCCACAAAGCTGAAAAACTAATAGTGTTTAACAGATTGTGATTTGCTGAAAACACATTCATCCTTGCGAGCACAACACAGAGCTACACCAATTAGTACTATTTCACGCACTTCCATTTTTCAAACAATGTCCAGTAGATCATTCCCAAAAAAACAAGAAATGTCTCTTACAGAGATCTATAGTAACATGCATTAAATGCTAATTGCAAATTGATTACTACTAAAAACCCATGAAAACAACTTTGGATGCTTCACAACGAGACAACAGTGGTTTCATGTATTTCAAAAGAAGATTAATATCGGCAAACAAAAGAACGAAAAGATGGAAAACACCAAGCATAGCCATCATGACATAGATTTACATAAGCTCATCTATTGTCAGTATATGCACGTATGTATGAACTTAAAATATCAGCTTATACATCTTCAGAAAGTTGGCACACTAGGGAAAAACCATACATCATATGGTAGTAATAAACTTCACTAAATGGCAAATTCATCCTCAGAAAGTTGGGACTTTAGGCAAAAACCATATAGAAGAAATAAAGTGCAGAAAATGGCAAATCCATCTTCAGAAAGTTGAGACTTTAGACAAAAACCACATGTCATATGTAACTAATAAACTGCAGAAAATCGCAAATTTGCCTGCACAGCAGTAATTCCAAAGACCCATAAATGAAATCAAGGACAATCTCAAATGATATTAAGAGCGGATTGTGAGTACCAAATCTAAACCAAAACTGTAGACAAAGCCAGATTTACAGGAATCTTGGCAATGCCTTGAACTCAGAAGAAATCCTTCCCAATGCCTTGAGCTCAATACTACTGCTGGCTGATAGGTAACAGTTGCTTACTTGAACATTATACTCAAACACTACTCTTGATTCTCTTAGCTTTCTTAGATATTGAACTTCCCCTCAACCTTGATTCAAGTTTACTCTTTTTCTTCTCTTTCTTTTCACTGTAACTTTTGGCAACCTTCTCGATGTTTCCTGCTTTCTTCTGCAACCCCTTCACTGATTTTCCCTTCTTTCTCTTCTTAACCCCAGAATCATCACTGTCAAAAATCTCATCTGCCTCTTTATCACTCTTCTTCCCCTCATCTCCATCTCTTTCACCGTCACTATCCACATTCCCTGCTGCAAACATTTTCAGTTTACCCTCATCATCATCATCCTCCTCACTCTCCAATTCACCTACACCTACACCAACATCCATATACCGGACCTCGTGAATCCTCCCTTTCTTCTTCTTCGTCCTCCCCATTATCACCTCACCTCCACTGCTCTCCTCCTTCACCTCCACAACCTCTCCTTCACTGTCATTCACAGCCTCAGTCTTCTTCACCCCATCAATCTTCAACTTCACATCAGGCAATGCCTGATAAACAGGCAATGCCAACGAGTCTGAAAACTTCAAATGCAAACTCCTTACACCACCCCATTTCTTAGGCACAACTTTAACAACCTCATTAATCCCTTGCACTACATTTTCCACTATCTCCTCATTCTCCATTGAAACCTTCCCAACTTTCATCACACAACAAGTTCCTGTCCTCATATACAACAGCCCACATCCCATAGCCCTCTCAATTTGCTCTTTCCAATTCTTATGACTCAAATCCAATGGTAAAGGCAATTTCTTCTTCTTGAAAAAAAACTTGCCAAGCAACTTAGGAAGCAAATGAACAACCCTTCTATCAACCAAAAAAAGATCATAGGAATCACAAAGTTTCCTTTTTGCCTCGAAGGGTTTATAATTTGACTTGAGTTTGGATAGTTTAAGGACTTTGGCAACAGGCAGATTCTGGGATTTAACAATCTTTTTAGCAGCCTCCGAGGTGAGATTTGACTTGGGCCTATCATCAATTATGAGACAAAGCTCGGAATCGGGATCAAATAGGGGTTTTGGTAGGGGGATTTTGAAGGGGTTCGTGCGAGGTTTTGGTGGGATTTTCTTGAGAGTCAAGTTGAGGTAGATGAAGTCGTCTTCAGGGAGGAGTTGAGGCTTTTGGGAGGCGGATTGGGCTTCCTTCCATTTCTGTAAAGCGTTCACAGCTGCAACCACTCTTTCCCTGGGAACCATGGCGGCCATGGAGGCGGCAGAGGTGGAGAATGGTGGCGGAGTGATGAGAAGTGACAGAGGAAATTTGGGAAAACGGCTAGGGTTGAAGATGGGGGTTTAAGAATCCGAACTTGAACCGGGTTATGAACTTATTTGTGTGTTTTTCAAACTGGACCCGGATCCAAAACGCAGGCCAACAAACACTGCTGTACTTCAATTTGAATAGAAAAAGCCCACATATGTTACTTTTGGATTGCCTTCAATTTGGATGGTCCAAAACCCATATTTGCGATTTTGAGTAGAGGAATTTCTTCTATGAGTCTCAAAAAAGAAAAGAACTTCCACCCACCCACACAAATGGACTTACAATTCACAAGAAGGATCCGAATGAAGCGTTGAGAAGTTTAACTACTTTTTCTTTCTTTTTTTTTTTCCCCATGAGGAGTTAACTACTACTCATTTTTTGAATTTTTTTGTTGGGCTTTTTTTTTTCACATATGATGCAATTGAAAAAAAAATATGCAGTCACCATTTTTTTTATTATTTATTGCATGAAGTTCGAGAAAATCTTGTTGAGATTGAAATATTCCATGGTCATCCTCGTACATGCAAAACAAGAGTTAGACCTTGTTCGGGGTTACGGTGCATTTGTAAAAAGACGCTTTTAAATATTATTAGAAGCACTGTTAAGTGGTCGATAATTAATTTTCTTAACTTAAATAACTTAGATTTAGTAATTTAAAAGTATTTTTGTTAAAAGTACCAGTGTCAAAAGTGCCTTGCAACCTCAGGAAAGATAATGCCAAATTTGTTATTCTCATTTCTCATGAGTGTAACAAATGTTTTGTAAAAAAGAGTGCTAATTTTTTAGGGTTGTAATCAAAAGGTCATGTACATTATGACTTTATCCCATTACATGACTTTATGGATAGACAGAAAACTAATATATATTCTTTCCTATCTTCAAAACTGAAGAATCCGATGCTGGGGGATTTTCGTCTCATTTTTCCTTTTGTGGTATATTCAAGACTGTTATGGTTAAATGCTTTTTTTGTATTTCTAAGTAATTGCTACTTGTACTTTTCATTCAAAAAAAAAAAAAGAAAGAGAAAAAGCCAAAACAGCCACAATATACTATATAGTCCCTTTAAAAAAAAATTAAATCCAAAAAATAATTGACGGCCGACTAAAAGGTAACCATCCGTTACCTTACCTACCTTTCAATTATTGCTATTAAATACTTCAGCATTAAGTATATTAATCAAGAAAACCCCCCCCCCCCCCCAATCCCCCAAAAAAAAAAATTTTTTTTTTTTGCGTTGGCTTTCAAGTGGCTGAGAGCTGTAAAGGTTGCTGACAATTACCGTTTCAGAACAAAAACAGTAAAACGATTCACAATCTTTTCTTCTTAAACCTACAAAGAAGTTAATGATGAAAAGAAAAAGGAAACCTGGGAACTTACAGATTCTACTTACTTTGCAAGACAAAAGGGATCAAATCAAACATCAGGCTGCCTTCTAAGCTAAAACTACCGGTCATACGACGGAATTTGGGAGAGCAAAACTACATGTGCGCTGCTGGCTCCCATTCCCAACTGCCATTCAACTTCTCAACGGGCCTACGAACTCCCGTACCACTCTTCTCATTTCTCCCCATCCTCCACCTTGATGGTCATCCACTCATATCAACAGCCCCCTCCTGTTTTTTTCTGATATTTTGTACATATCTGTTTCTTGAATACTATTTCACGACCAAAATTCTTTAAGGAAAGTTCATGCCTCCTTCGCAGGGGGGGAGGGACAAATAAAAACAGACAAAAGAAGTTTGTTTTTGCTGAGAAATGGAAGGTTCAGAGAATTCCAAGATAGAGAATAGACAGAAAGTGAAGACAGGTGATGGCTCAGAACAAGTAGAGGTGCAAGAGGTTGATTTTGGCGAAGTAATCGAGCTCCCTCCACAGCCAGCAGCCATGCATAACGAGCCAGTAATTGTAGCTGAAGAAAAGAACACTATGGAGCAATCGGGATCTTCTGAGGTAACTGTAGAGGAGAAAGGAGAGGAAAACCTGAGCGTTATCTCTGAACCAGAGGCTACTGCGAGAGAGTTGGCGTTTTCCGAATATGGGCAGAAACAGGATGGGGTTTCTGCCGTTGCATCTGAAGCAGAAACAAAGACGCAGGAGGAGGCTCCATTTCCAATTTCAAGTACTAGTGTTGCGGAATCATCAGGTGTTCGAGATTCAGTTAGCGAAGAAAATGTTGTTGAATTATCAGAACCAGTAGCTGTTGTTCCTGGTGATGCTACTAATGGTGGTGGGGGTCGTGACTCATCAGAAAATCCCAGCAGCGCTGACAGAGAGGTGCTCAATTCAGTTGGCCTCTTCTTAACATATTCTTTTTCCGTTTTGCTGATTGTCTATATAATGACCATCTTCGGATTATGGGTAACTAGGGATCCAGAATTTTCCTTTTTCAATAATATTGTTGTTTAATCTGCTGACTACTTTTTATGTGTTGAAACATTTGAACAGCCAGCTGCTGTTTTGACTCCTCGCACGCGGACTTTTTGGACGAGCTGCTGTGGTTTATTTGATGCTCTGCGGGGCTCAAATCAGTAATTTTAGGTGAATGACTTTTGGTACGAGAAGATTCTTCTTGATCAACTTTATGCACTCAACGGTTGAAACTTTTCCCAGAAATCAGTAACTCTTTCTGCCGGTTTTTACGAGCATCGTTTGGGCTTTTAGCCAGTTTAATATCTAGCATTTACTATATTCACCGTACAACAACTATAAGCTGTTTGGTGATCTGTTACATTCTCCTGATAAAATCCCTCAGTCTGTGTGGAGAAAAAATGATTGCTGAAAACTTGTTCATCTGTACAAAGACTAGAAACAGAGAACTGCAGGGAGTAACAAGGCAAGTAAAAGATGGTTGCGGATCTGTGATCAGGTTCAACATAGCTATGCATACACAATGCTGTATATACTACTCAAATCTCATTTCTTGGTGGTAGTGCCTGGAATACATTTCTTATAACTAAACTATGGCAACCAGAACGCAAAGGTGCACAGAGCAAGTTCAAATTTGTAAACCAGAGACGTTTGCTAGTCTAATATGCATGACATACGAGTTGTTCCAGTATGGTAATTTGATCAACCAATTGAAGGACCAAGCTATTAATATTTCACTACTGCATCTGATGTGCTTGATTGCTGCGCAGGAATCTGGAGGAGCATTGTTGGCTGGTTTGCTACTTTGATTTTGTGGAGTGCAGCGTGAGATCTCGTAGAATTTTTTTGACGTAGTAGAAGATAAGGTACATCCACTCAGGATATCATCAGCCATGGAGTTGTTTTCGTTCCTTAAATGATGAAGACTTTAAAAGCTTTTTGTAATTTCATTATCCTGCAACCGGAGCTTGAGTGTGCAGCCAAGAGTCCGTGCTAGAGTGAAGTTTTCTCTTGGTCTTGAGTGTTGCTCTGTAACCTGTACTGATTTATTGTAATTTTATATCTGAGAGCAAACTGTGAACATGAACTGGATATTATGGTATGATAAAAGTTGATTCTTTCTTCACTTGGATTATATACTATCTCTCCTTACCCCTGTACATCTGTTTGCTCCCCAAAAGAAAGATACAACTGGAAACCATATACAGTTTACCGTATCTTCTTTTTTTTTGTGCGGGGTATCTTAAGGATTTTTGAGTTCAGTAACTTTGGCTCCTACGAATTTGTAAGTGCAGCTCTACAAAGTCTCAGATTCTGAACTTGCTCTCATTCCCTGCTCTCCCTCGCCCTAATGACGAGTCAGACCTCGCACACAGCAGTAAAGCAACACTGCTATCACCAACCTAGAGTCTGAAAAAATGGACTAGGGGAAGGATCATAGTTCTAACACTACGTTGCGATGGACTAGGATGAGAACCAAGCAACCTATTTCAAAAGACACAAAAACCAACCACCAGTTTATTCACAATTCATTAAAGACAAATGGTTTCCCAAGTAGCAAACTCTCTGCAAGTATACAAGGAGGCGACTTACTTCCTTTTGGATGAAGGTGCAAGAGATCAAATTCCATCGCGCATAAGCTGAACATTATTGGCACAACTGCCAAACAGGCGGACAAGATGCCCAACCCAATTCGTAATATCCAAAACTAACAGCAAATTTGAGTAGGCAATTAGTGATTTCCAATATGAATAACACAATAAGGAACCTTCGGGCTTTCACAATTTCGATGGGCTTGGCAAATATAAGTTCAGTCACCCAGTACTGCAACAAATTGACTATCAATGATATCACAAGGAAAGAGTTTAAAGCAATTAATGCTTAAATTTATCAAGTTTAACGGGGTTGTCAAGGTGACATGATCTAATATTTTCCTCTCTATACTTAATTAAATTACCATACAATGACCGCATTTGCTGTCTTCTACCTAAATTGTCAATTTGAACCAATTGACGGCACTCAGCTTCACCCAAGAGAGAAAGTCGACTGTGTAGCAACACTTAACCAAGAGGGCTCCAATCATGAAAAAGACCACACAACCAACATATCCGTTGGTAGCAGAAAATGCCTGGGGGTATGCTTATGGCACTCAACAAAATACAGGGCCACAGGTATTCATCAAAGCCTGGAGAGGAGAAAAAGAAAAGCCATCTCATGCACGGCTCATTTCCTTCATTTCTTTGTGGTTAAGTAGAGGTCATGAACAGAGCGTCCACAACCTAATTTTAGGGAGCACTACTCCAAAAATATTACCACCTATGGTATCCACAAATACAATGTCACCTAACACAGCGTCCTGTTTCTTTCTCATGCAGACATGTAAAGCAGAAAGCAATGTAGTCAAGCACTCTAAGGCAACCAAAATTATAATGATGTGGGGATCTAAGAAGCAGCCATTCACATACCATCATCACAAAAGACGTATACTGTGAACACACAGACAAGACAATAAATCATAGAACTATATATGCAGTAAAAATATAATCAGCATCAAACCTTACCAAAATGGGGCAAAAAAAAGTGGTTATTGCAAAGCATCCAACAAACTGTCGTTACCCAGGCAAAACATATCCCTTTAACACTGATTAACAACAATACTACTACATCTATAAGAAATTATCCACTAAAGCTAGAAAGCTTAATAATAATAAAGCCTGACACAACCATCAAAACCATCAAAATTGAGCCATTTCCTTACTCAAGGTCAGCAACAAAAACCCTAACCTGCAAGCTTCTCTTCCATCTTCAAACTACGGAAATTCACCTTTTCTTGTAATGAAGATAACACAGCACCCCTGTCAGAGCCACAGCACTGACAGCAGAAACAGCCACCACAGGCCACTCCCCCTCAAGTCGAGCAGCGCAATTCTTCTCTCGGCCCTCAACCACACTGCCCACATCCTCCTCCACCACAGCCACCTTCCCATTCTCCAGACCATCAACCTCCCTCTGTTTCACTTCCAACCCGTTAATCACCCTCTCTTTCTCCTCCAACTTCCCTTCCAATTCCCTTACCTTTCGCAATAACTCCTCTCTCTCACTCGCAGCCAATTTCAACTCCTCAATCCCACCCTCCAAAACCTTAATCTCCTTCTCCTTTTCTCCAACTTTGGCCTTCAAGTCCTCCACTTTACCAATCAACAAATCCCTCTCACTGATAACAGCATCCAGCTTAATTGACTTCTCCGTCGCCCCATTCTCCAAACTCTCCACCTTCGTTTTCCACTTAGAAACATCACTGTTAGCCTCGTCCAAATCACTCATAGCAGAAATCAGATCATGCTGCAGTCGTGATACTTCGCCCTCAAGCTCACCAGCCCTAGCAGCTACAGATTGCAAAGCCTTGCTCTCCGAGCCCAATTTCTCGACCTGGCCCTTCAGTTCCTCATTCTCAGAGCTCAAATGCTTCATTGATTCCTTCATTTTCTCAATCCTATCATTAACAGTCTTATTCTCATAAACCACCTGCTGCTTTTCTTTCTCCAACGCCTCAATCATCTCTGAAAGTTCAGCAACTTTCGATTCGTAACTGGAGATTTCCTCTCCAGCAATATCCACCGTTTGAGCATCCACAAATTCGCCGTTCACCGTATTCGAATCATCAGCCATCTTTTATCCTACCAGAAATTAAACAAGGAAAAATCATCCAATCAATTGTTCATATATATTTTTTTTTAAAAAAAAATAAACTATAGCCCCCGTGATTCCACTTTTTCCTAGGCTAACAAAAAAATTAATTAACAAATAAAAACGAAGAAGAAAATGAGTTATGTAAAAAATTAAGTAAAAACAAGTTTGATTATTTATGAAGGCGCAAAAAATTCTCGAAAACAAAAGTAAAGCGCGTTGATCCAAATATAAATTTGTCTGCGGTCAAAGATTAAGACAAAAAATACCCAAAAAAAAGTAAATATCCTGGAATTCAAAAGTATTACCAAAAATCCCAATATCTACACCAAATATTACGAAAAACAAAATTAAAACCAAAAAAAAAAATTGCATTAATGTCTGCACTGTATATACAGAAAATATTCAAAACAAAATCATTAAAGGAAAAAAAAGATAAAAAACATAAATAGAATTCGAGAAATTTGTTAGAGAGCTCACCTGGAGTGTGTGTATTGTGCGTGTGATTTGTCTGCAATTGAAAGTCTTAATAATTTAAAAATATAAAAAGGATAAATGTTGGAGTAATTAGGGTTTCTTGGGAGGAAAGAGAGAAAGAGAAAGGTAAGAGTCCTGAGATTTATTATGTCGTCCAATCTGCAATAAAAAAAAAAAGAAATGAAAATTCCAATAAGGATATGGGCCAAAAAAAAGGATAATTAAAAAAAAAAGTAGCAATAATGATTAAAAGAAAATAAAAGGGGCTTTTTCGGGTGCTTGGGTGTTTGAGTGGTGGTGGCAGTCGTAATGATCATCAATTGTTGATGGCAGAAATGAACGGTTTAAAGTTGGTTTGAGATTCGCTGATGGCATGATCATTCATCCTCATCATCCACGTGATTAAAGTTGTGGGACCCGGAGTCCGAATCCCGATTGTGGAGGGACTGTTCAACCCGTCACGCCGAATGGTGATCCGGCAAAAGGCGGTTCATCATTGGATGGTCAGGGACTGGGTTGAGAATTGGGCTTTTAGTGAGGGAGGGAACCCAAGTTTGGGCCCTTTAAAATCCAAGTAAAATGGATGTATTGCTTCTTACTAGCAGTATAAAGTTTCTCCAATTCTCTTTGTTTTTTTTTTTTGCACTTTTTAATTTTTTAAAAATATTCTGAAATTTGCTGGTTTATTAATCTAATTTATTAAATCCTTCCAGCTAAATTTCTATGTGAGTAATTATTTCAGGAATTTTTTTTAAATATCTTATTTGTTTCGTTATAAAAAAAATTTGGATTTCCCATCTCATCAAGTTATATTTGCTTTGTTAAAGCTAAGGAAGGAAATAATTGGGTTTTGTTTGGATCGAGGCTTATTTACAAAATATTATTTACTTGTATCATAAATACATTTTTCAATCAAATTTTTTTTTATCTCTTCAATTAGTTTTTGATTTTACATACATAACGTCATAAAAAGTATTAAAGTAATTATTTCAAATAATCTCCTATCTCAAACAAGATGTTTTATTTAGCAGACGATCTTCCATCTTTATTGGCCAAATATCCTATTGCCCAATTGGGTAAATTTTGAGCAGCAAAAGTGTCAGCATGCACTTTGAAGAAAGCACGTTTGAAATAATTCTTGTATACACTGACACGCGATATATACACTCTGTCACTATGTATGATAACTAATCCTAGTATGAATTTGAAATTTAAAATCTAAATTTTGTATCCAATGATGATATCAAAATACTCTACTTATTATGACATTCATTTTCACGGTAAAAATCCTCAAAATAGACATTTCAACAATGATTTCAAAGCCCAACTCAACTCCAATCTTAGATTGTGTTTGGATTGCATTTTTTATCATATTTCATGGAAAAATTACTGTAACGATTTGATATATGTGAGGGAAAAAAATGATAGGAAAATGTGATCACGGAAAACGACAATATTTTCCGACGAAAACATGCTATACAATGAAATGGATATGGATGAATTTAGTGAGGGAAAAAAAAAAATGCCTCACAATACCATATCCTGGCGGACCTAGCCAGAAGCCGGTATGGCCAGTACAGCCACATGCTGCTTTCCCTCCGTACAGTTGGTACCACGACGACAATTAAAGATTTTCTGTCCCTTTTTTGTTAGCTTTCTGAAATCAATTACTACATCACCAGAGGAATTCATCACTCCCAACAAGTCATCACCATCATTTTGCAACAATTTAAACATGGCTTCCTTCCCCCAACACATTTTCTCTGCCCCAAATTTGGTCATCAGCACATTTCTTTCTCATCATTTATCATCAACTCAACTCAACTCTTAGATTTGAAAGGATTTCCATTTCCACGCTACTATCTTTTGAGATTTGCTTATTGGCCCCCCCCCCCCCCATGACGGCTACAAAATTGCATGCCATACATACACTACAGTAGTAATTGTGTATTTCATTGACCAAGATTAATTATGATTGTAATACTCATCTTAATTGCCAAATCCTTGTTCACAATCATCTAATCTAATTGATGAAAACTGGTTGGGACAGCATTTATGCCAAGTGCGCTTAAATGGTTGGTTCAAATCTTGAAGCATTTAAAACTGTTAATCCTCAATTACCAAAAATTGGTGGTATAAACATCTTCCGCAAAGGGGAAACATGCATTTTTTGCTAATCTCATTCACGTAATGCCAAATTAATCCTTCGAGTTAACAGTTATGATTAAGCATGAAATCAGTTCGAGCACGTACAATATATAGCAATAATATATATTTCTTCAAGAATGTACGTACCAAGAGTAAATTCCTACAACATCAAAGACATTCAAAGCTGGAAAATACCAAATCTATTAGTACTTGTACCATTACTCTATCATCATGAAAACTAAATTTGATTTCCCCTCTATTCCTCTACAAGGAATTAAGCTATCCAAGGTTGAAGGCTTCATGAAATCAAAGAAAGAAAGAAAGAACAAAAAAAAAATAATAATAAAAGAAGATAGAGAGCCCTTAGTTTTAATCCCCCACCCTAACCCCCAGCATAAAATAAAGGGCATTAAAGCATAAAGAAAAAGAAAAGAATTTTCGTAACAATTTTCTCACCACCAGCCATCACAACTAAAGGCAATGTAAAATCACATTAATCATAAAATCAGCCTCCAAATTTTCTCTTTTCCTTGTCAGAACTTTCAACAAAGCTTGCAAGAAACTTCAAGGCTTTGACTTGATACTGCAGCTCCATTATATAACCCGCAGTTTCCTCAAACAGCTTGTCAACCCCTAACGATTCACCGCCTGGCACAATTTTTTGTAATACCACAATCTTTTTCTCCACCTCAGCTTTCTCATCTTCTTCGCTACTTGTGTCCTCCTCGATTGATGATGCTAACTTCTTAGCGTTAAAACTTCTCTTTGATGATCTTCTGCTTCTTCTACTGTTCTTCTCCTGGAGCTTCGCGTGGGGGATGACAGCTAAAGATTCTTGACCCGCATTGTCCATATTCGTGCTGGAGTTTTTCCGGGTGGTCATTCTTTCTTTTCTTGATAATGCGGCTGAGTTTCTTGGCTCTTCAGGACTGCTACCGCTGCTCTCCATGAATTAACGGCAAAGGAGGAGAGAAGGGACTGTTGAGAAGGGAGAAAAGGCTAAAGGGTCATAGGAGGTTGTGGAGATGAAGAAGTAAAAGGTTGTGGGAAGAAGGGGGAAGGAAGGTGGTGGAGGGTTGAGGAGGAGGAGGAGGAGGAGGAGGAGGCTGTGAGGCATTGGGGTATGGTGTGGTGTTAAATTATTGTTTAGAGTTCTGGAAATGTCAATGCCAACGAAGCTGGTCCTACCAATTTTGGGCTTTGGCTTCCTAAGACCCCTGATTATGGTTTTCTGGACAAGTAATGGCACCACGCTCTTTGTTGCCGAGGTTCATACACGCATGTAAACACATGGAGGAGGGACTAACTCCACTTTATCATTATTTTACATTAGTATCATCTTTTTATCTCATTAATTACCATATCTTTTTATCTCGTTTATTAGATTTAAATAGGACAATTTTTTTTACGATTTGAGGTGCAAAGTATTTGAAATTGAAATTCAAAATGCAAAATTAATAAGTGATATAAGTTGCGTGTTTGGATTCCACATGATAATCTTTAATAATGTATGGATGAATTTAACCAATTGTATGCATCTACTTTTCAATAAAAATTTCTTTATATTGTCAAAGAATTTTTTATTGTTTCGATTTAAACGACATACAAAAGAAAAAAAAAAGGACAAACAAGAAATGACATAATTGTTTGATTAGCATTTGTACAATCAAACAGTCTTAAGCACAACAACTCGTCCCAATTTGAACATGTTTCCTGAAATTTGCGATACAAAGCAAAGAAATGATTTTGTTTAGAACTTTAAAAAATAATGCCCAAGAAAACCAATAATCTTATGGAGTACTAATTTTTACTGCATGGCCTGACCAAGGAGATAGTAATATGGGTACAAGTATAGGAGAGCGTTTGATTCACTCGCCAGCGGCATGAAGGTGGAGAAGGATGATGGATGAAAGGGTGGGTGGGGCAGTGGGGAGGCTGAAGGGAAAACCGGATAGAGTATCGCAGGTGTGACAAGGGCCCACGAGTCAAAAAAACAAACGGAGAAAGCACATGTGATCACATGAATTTCTTGAACCTAACACACCCCATGTGCACCCCTCGTCTCTCCCTCCTCACTCCTATATATGATCAAACACGTATGTAGAGGCCACGTTTCACTTTCACCTTAGAGCCCCACAACCACCCCCCCCCCCTCTCCAATGTCAGAGAGAGAGAGAGTTTTTGTTTTTCCTTTTTTTTTTTGAGTTGGGGACCCCATACGGTCGTGGTTGTGGGTGGTGGTCACTTGGTGGTGGTAGGAGGTGGTGTTTCCAACGAGGGAACAGCAGTCGGCGGTGGTTTTGAGGTCATTGGGATTGTGTTTTTAGTGTGTGAGATGAGAAGAGAAGAAATGAAAAGAAGAGATTTTGGATTTTGGATATTGGGTGGGGTGTTTGAGTGTAGGGCATTTGGGACTCAATGCGATCAGTTCAGAGCTACCAAATCTTGTGTTCCTGCCGCACACTACAGACGACATTACATATTTTTGGTTGGTCTTAGTAAACATAATAATGATATTAAATGGTTCGTAGCAGACTAGTTGAATTTCTATCTTTATATAGGATTATCAATTTGCTACTACATCGGAAGTACCAATTTTCTTGGATCCATTGCCAATCCCCCCCACTGATGATATCGCGTTGGAAACCATCTTTTTCTTCTACATCACAAAGAGGGAAAAAAAATACTCCCTCTGTGTGTGTCGTTTGATAGTTCTATTTTTTTTTTTTACGCAGTTTAAGAAAAAATAATTAATTTTATTAAAAAAATAAATTTAAATTGCTATTTTTTTTAAAATACTCCTACATTAAATAAAGTTGACTTTTCATATATCAATATATTTTGAAAAATCTAAATGCATTAAATATGATAGGTAGGTTATATTCAATACTAACACTCTTATACTCTCTCCGTCCCACTTTGATAGTCTTGTTTTCCTTTTTCGTCTGTCCCAAATTGTAGTCCACTTTCCGATTGAAGAATGTAGTTTTATTTTTATTTTCCTAAAATACCCTTATTCAATGTAAGTTGTTGTTACTATAAACTTACTCCATTTAATGAGAGTTGGTTCTTTTTTTACCATCAATTCAAGTTCCCATAAAGTTGTACTCTAATTAATGTGGGGGTATTTTAGGAAAATAGCTACCTAAATTGATTGTTCCAACAAAATTAACTACTTTTTATTAAACTGTGTGAAAAAAGAACCAGGACTATCAAAATGGGACGGAGGGAGTATTAAATAAGGTAGTTTATAGTAATAACAACTTACATTGAATAAGAGTATTTTAGAGAAATTAAAAGACAATTACATTTTTCAATTGGAAAGTATATTACAATTTGAGACAGACGAAAAAGAAAAAATAAGACTATCAAAGTGGGATGGAGAGAGCATGTCATCTAATGTAGGTATTCCCCTTTTGACAAAATTTCTTCATTTCTTGCTTGAAATTTTAACAAATTGTGCTAATTTCCTCTTGGTAATAACTTATACAAAAATTGAAAATATATATGCTCATCTATTCACGTGCAAATACGAATAAATTTAACTAAACGGGTTCATTTGCTACCTATAGTAATAAGCAAGTTCGGATATTTGCGAATTTTTGGAATATTACTATAGTAAATTTCTAACCGTAATATGTATGAAACCCAAAAAAAGAAAAAAGTTGAAAAGATAGAAAGTTAATTCACCAAACCCTACAAAACTATGGTCATCAATCTTAACAGGATTGATTCGAAGGCGTAAGATGAGGACACCGACCAAGTCTTCGTGATAGTAATGTATCAAACTATGGTCCTATTCTGTTCAATTCCAAGTGTCAAAAACAGTGTAAAATTGTACGTTTTCTAAATTCAGGTTTGTTTTTTTCTTTTTTTCTTTTTTGCCCAAAATGTCTTCAGATAAGAAGGGCCCTTGCTAGCACATGGTATAATTTTAATTGCTCCGTCATCTCGTTTGTCAAATTTTGCATCCTCATGTTCCAATTAGTCTTCTGTTATCACCCATAACTATTACATATTGACATTTTCCCCCCTTTCTACGTATACATAATCAAAATATGAGTTGTCTTTCCTTTTTCTCTGCGAGTGTCATGCTATTATTTTTGCCTCTTTTGGTTTTACAATTATTCTACATAATTTAAGTTTGGTTTTACAACAAACTAAAAGTTCCCAATTGGGGACTACTATTTTTTTGTGGGCAAAAAACAATTCACTTCAAAGTAACATGTGCTAATTAACCATGATAAAAACAATCAAAAGATACTCCTCTACTACTGTTGTCAACCAGATTTTTAAAACGCGCAAAAACACTGACCTGTGTGTGTTAGATGAATCTGGGAATCAAGATTTGCTAATTAAGATGCAATGCATGTATCCAGCTAACCATCAGAAGGGATGCATGCATATCCCTGTCTGCAAAGAGATCATCTTTGTGGGGCATTTCCGTGACAAAGCAGGGATGCAAATCAGGATAGTCCCAGAAAAGCTGTGGGCTGTATACGTATGGGGATGCATTGAATTGCATGGAATAATAATAATGATTTAATGAGAAGAAAGGGAGAAGAGTTGATGATGCATCCATGCCATAAAATTATGTGCTGCGTACCCATAAATGCAATCACAAGAAGAAGCACAGGGGCATGGGGACGATTGTTTGGTGGCTGGTAAGTCAGATATTGTTTGCGTGGCACTTTTTTTGTTTGGTTGGTTGGTAGGTAAATGTGACCGCTTTTGGCTCCCAAAAGATACAGCCATTATTTGGATGGCTATTATTTGACTCCAAATTATTTATTTGCATCACAGACACTCTATTTTTTTTACAAACCCTTTTATCTCTCCGATCACTATTTCATCTCACATACATCACATCATAACATGTGTTGCGGTAATTATTTCAAATAATCTTCTATCCAAACACACACCAATTAGCCAATTATACGAGTAATTCATCCGTCTTTTCTTTCTACATTCTTGCCCTTTAAAAGAACTTATAAGGCAAACCGATTGTCGTTGTCCTCTGGGAGTCGATGCTTTCTTGTTAAGAGTTTCTACTTCTTCCGAAGCCTGACCAAATAACATTTAATTAGAAGGTTTCTGCTGCAACGTAAACGCCAGAGAAGTGGGGAGTTGCTGCGCGAACTGCTACCGTATGGAGTTGAACGAAAAACAGGAATAAAAGAGAGCGAGTAGAAGGCTCAAATCAAACCCATTTTCCATTACGAGGACCAAACACCCTAGTGCACTAGACACGGCTTTCCTCTTGGAGAGTGTATGGCTTAAAGATAACCGACAACCGACCGACCTCAGAATGCCAATTAGCGAGCGGTAATCCTTCATCGATCTACTTCAAAGACAAGGACACTCTCCAGTTATCCTACAAAATGATCCTAATAGAGCAGCAATTGTCCCGTATGCTTCAATTATCACGCCTGATGGAATTGGACCAGTCGATAGGAAGCGCACACAACAGACGCACGTGGAACCATGAATGTTCCCCTTCCCCTTCCCCCCTAGGGGTGTTTCGCGAATCGAGCCGCTCGAGCTCGACTCGAGCTCGTCAATATCGAGTTCGAGTCGAGCTCGAGCTAATTAAGTCGATCTCGAGCTCGAGCTCAAGCTCAAAAACATTAAGCTCGTTGGCTCGCGAGCTCAATTATATATATTTTTTTTTATTTTTTATTTTAATAGTAAAATTACATATATATCCCTAATATTTTATTATTTATTAAAAAAATTATTATTTTATTTATTTTTAAAAATAAATAATTATTTTTTATTTTTAAAAAATAAAATAATAATTATTATTTTTTTATTTTTTAAGCTCGAGCTCGAGGCCGATTCGAATTTGACTCGAGCTCTAGCTCGATATTTTAAGCTCGTCGAGCTCGAGCTCGAGCTTCACAAAATTAACTTGAGCTCGGCTCGATTAGCCAAAGCTCGGCTCGAGCTCGGCTCGTTTGCACCCCTATTCCCCCTCCCCCACCCCACCCCACCCCAAAAAGACAAAATCCATGACAAGCTTGTCATCCTTCCAAATCACTAACATCCATTTGATAAAACAAGGCCAACTTTGTGGTGTGGTCACCCTATCTCTTCCCACTCTGC